TCGTCTCGCCGTGACCTTCTCTTGAATTCTCAAAACTTCTGTCGCTCCATCCCCGCAGGGGCAGAGAACCCGTCGCTGTCTATCCATAAACCAGTTACTGGTACAAATAACATAAAGAAATGTAACCAACGTTTATTGGAAAAAGCAACCCCAAAGATTTGGGACCAAAAGCGATTAGCAGTGACCATTGAATAAGTTTCTTCAGCTTGAGTTGGGTTAAAAGCAAAAGCGTTCCTCGTCATTAATATGTTTGCTCGCGGCAATTGTAGCCTCTCGGGAGAATCGATGACTGCATCTTTGATGCACTACTAGTACTAGTACATCTGAGAATTATTAATTGGATAGTTGTAAATAGCCCGTAACTGAACCAGAACAGGTAAAAAAAATAAACCTAATCAATTTTGTTGTATTCGTTTTATCGTTGTAATTGTTTTAATTAAATTAATGAAATATTTTCCATTTCTTACTTTTATAAAATTTTATTTTTATTAAATTACATTCAATTAAAAAAAAGAAAGAAAATAAATAAAAATAAAAGTCTAAACAATGCTGGTTGAAGTTAGGGTTTCGTATCTTGAATCATCAACGAATCTGTACGATTCTATTCCCCTTCATCAAACTAAGTTAACGTTTATGATCAAATCCAGAACAAAATTCTGGTTGTTATCGCTGAACTTAACATGATAAAATTGGAATTATAAGGCTGCAGCTATAATAAGTTACTGCTATTTCTTGTCCTCATTTAACTCGAGCTTCGAAGCGAATTGTGAAATCCTCGTACGAAGTTCATATTGTATGATAATTGATAGTTTACACACCCAAAACCGCAATTGAATGGCGATGGCTTCCTCTCTATGTGCAATTCACTCATTCTCGTCGTTTTCTTTTCGTGATCCGAGATTCCGCCAATCGGATTCGCGTTTTATAGCAACATATTTCCCTCTTGCTTCTTCCACCATTCCTAATTCTTCTTCTACTACTCTAAACGGTCGATCTAGCTTCGATTTCTCCATCCAAAAGTTAAATCCTAATGTGGGTCCTCGGAGAATAAGGTCAGCTGCAGCTGCTGGACCTATGTTCTTCCCGGAGAATCCCCTCGTCGGGGATATTTTCGCCATGGTTTTCTCCGGCTGCTTTGCACTATCTATACTTCGGATTTATGAAGAAACTGCAAGGAGAGGTGTTTTTGACCAGGTGGGTGCACTTCAATTTCTCTGAATTTGCCTAATTTGTTATGTGGTAAATGTATTGTTTATGCAGTTTTGTCAAATATAGGGAAACTAGGAAATTGAATTAGCTAAAAGAAAATGATTTCTTTGTCAGGGCATTATTTATTTCAGTTCTTGAGTTCTGCTCTTTCTGTGGTGGACAGAGGGAGCCATTTTGATCCTGAATGTCAAACCATGTGTTACGTTTCATATCAACATCAATCCAAAATTTTTTGCCAAAAACGCCAACTACATTTCTACAAATACAGTAATGTTTGTTTATACATTGCAACAAAAATCCATTTTACATTTGAAAAATGATATAGTTTTCTGCATGAAAAATCAAAATGTAGCTTTAAAAAATCTGGCATAATAAACTTGCGTTCATTCAACTTTGGTTATAGGAGAATCTTAAATGTCTTAAAGCTATTCATTTATAAAAATTAATGCTTTTTAAAAACATATTCTCTCTTATTCAGAAACTAAATAGGAAGCTTGTACATACAACGATTGGGCTGGCATTCATGTTATGCTGGCCTCTCTTCAGGTAATTATACATGACAAAAAGGGTATATTTGTCATTTTCTTCATGACCATCTACTTCCTCTTAAACTTTTGCAGTTCAGGTCGTCAAGGGGCAGTTATAGCAGCTCTTATTCCTGGGGTCAACATAGTCAAAGTGCTTCTCATAGGACTTGGTATATGGAAAGATGAGGCAACTGTAAAATCCATGAGCAGATATGGAGACTACAGGTTTATTTTATAATAACCCCTTCATATTTTATATATTATGAAAACTTATATTTAACAATTCAAGTATTGAATCAGAGAACTAATTAAGGGACCATTATACTACGCTTCTACCATCGCTTTGTCTTCTATAATCTACTGGAGAACATCCCCAATTGCAATTGCAGCAATTTGTAATCTTTGTGCTGGAGATGGTATTTAATTAATGACCCCTTTTGTGATATTAAAAATGCCATTTACATATTTTACAAAAATGCTATGAACATTATTTGAAAAAAAAAAAAAAAAAAATCTTCAAATCTTTGATATTCCAGGTATGGCTGACATTGTTGGAAGGCGATTTGGAAAGCAAAAGATCCCTTATAACAAAGACAAATCATTTGCGGGAAGCATTGCCATGGCAGCTTCTGGTTTCGTTGTGTCTCTTGGGTAATCTTTATGCACAAGGGCAAAATAGTCTTTTTATATTATTTTTATAATTCTAACAAAATGTTGGTGATAGGTACATGCATTATTTCTCCATGTTTGGCTACTTTGAAGAAAGTTGGGAAATGATGTTAGGGTTTTTGATTGTTTCAATTGCTAGTGCATTGATAGAATCCCACCCTATAAGCACCAAATTTGATGACAATCTCATGGTGCCACTCACATCTTTCTTGTTGGGAACTTTAGTTTTCTCATAGATATCATGACGTATGCTTGACTTGACTTACCCTGTTATTAGTTCTAGGACTAAATGCAACAAATATCAATCTCCTTTCATTTAATTGTTTATTGTATTGTAAGTTGTAACATCCTACTTTCATTTTTTCTGTTACGACCTTGTACTTTGAATGCTTTAACAATAATCGTCTATACAATAAAACCTATGGTTAAAATGTTGGAAAACAAGTAATAATTATAATTTTTTTTATTACTTTCTTCAATATAGTATATGACAAGTAATAGATGATAAAAGGAATCGGAAGTAAAGAACACATTGCCATGATTTTGGTTGACTGAAATATAGACAACCTATAACCGACATTGATAACCTTTGCATAGAGAAAAAGACATACATTGGTATGTGATTTTCTACATATAAAATTAATGTCACCCCATAATGAAGAATTAAGAGTTGTGTACGATTAAAGAAAAAAAAATATATACAAACAATACAAGTAAAAGTAAATACGTGCAAATGAAGCTGGATAATAACAGTAATAGATAGTAAAAGGAACAAAAAAGTGGAAATGGAGCTAACACCTACACTACTTTCTATTCTACTACCCTAATTTTAAGTTTCCACAACCTTCTATCTATGTGTGTGTGAATCTCTGGAAATCAAACGATATCTTCATGGTTCCAGTTCCTTCTGTACACATCACCATGATTCTGGTCAATAGATGCAGAATTTCTGCTTCTTCTTAGCTGCATGAGATGAGGAGCGATAATAAGGAAGAAGATGAAGATTGAGAAAACAATAATTACAACAAACGCCATGATCTCGCCATCAACAGCATAACGCCGATTATGCGAGAGAAGAGAACATGGAGTAATTGGCGCCATTGCGGGTGATAGGAGGACTTCATGAATTGTGTTGTCCATCTGTGTTTTCTTTTTTTGGTTTTCTTGAAATATTTAAGGCCTTTTTTGTCTTGATTTAAATTTTGGAGAAATATTTAATATTGTATGGACATACTCATTACGTGTGTTTCTTGGGAGTTGGGACACCAAATAAAATTGTCTTTTTGTTTCAATAATCAATTGGGGATGGCAAAACACTGTTGCTTTGCTAGTAGAGTCTTTGCCTCTTTGGGTTGTTTTCATGCTAAAAGACAGACATTAGAGCATATAGAATATCAACTTGATGATTAGACTTGGCAAAATGCCAAAATGGGTTTAAATGGTTATGGGTAAATGGGTTTATAAACTGTTCAATTTGGTTATGGCTAAATTCTTCGAATAAAAGACAGATCATTATTTAAATATTTATTGCGTACCGATTATTTATAAACAAAAAAAAAATGAAATAAATTTTGGCATGTCAATTCAATACTAAATGAGGCGTGTTAGGAACTTGGGATATGTTGATACCGATATGAATGTTGTTGATTAAGAAGAGACATGCAAGAAAGATGAAGGTCATGGAAATAAGGATATCGTGGTGTACATGTGGTAGTTATGTTTGTTTCTTGTTTTATTGTTTGTATATCTTTTCATTGTTTGAGGATCTATATATTATTTACCAGCTTACTTTCAACTTTATTGTTTTTCTTATATGTTTATTTGTTAAATTTTTAATGTCGAGGGTAATCTATGATGGTAATATCTTTGATTTCGGATAGTGGTTTCCTTACATCTTACCTCCTATTTATCTTGTAGGACTTGGATATAGCTTTTTTGTTAAAATTAACCAAAAAGGTAATTTCTCATTACCTCATGATATAAAAATTGAACTGTTTTAACTATATATGAGAGTTTTTATGACCTCAAAAGATGTGGAGAATGGTAATGGTATAGTCTACATCATCAAAAGACTAAATACAATTTTATTACAAACATGTCATCATTTTATGCCTTTTATAACAAACTATAATTTGCTGATATGTTTTTAAACAATAACAGAATAATATTGCAATAGATATCACTAAACATTAACAACAAAACATATAAGACGGTTTGGCCGAGTGGTCTAAGGCGCCAGATTTAGGCTCTGGTCCGAAAGGGCGTGGGTTCAAATCCCACAGCCGTCATTTTATATTTTTTATTTCTGTATTTTTGTATCCATTCAAAATCAAATGCACTTCACTCTATCTCACTCAAACATTAAATAAGAACTTCCATAGTTCCACAGATTTACAACACCAACCTAATCCACACTTTTATTCTCTATCAAATCCGAAGCATCTTGTTAGACTTAAAACGAGTCTCAATGAACAATAAATGAAGTTCATGCAAGCTTTATTCCAACAATATCATCCCTGAGATCCACCGAAGACTCTGTACAACTTCCAACAGTAATCATGGAATCGGATTCAGTAAGCAAACACCAATTTACATTCAATCAAACTGCTCCCAATCCTTTGTTATTTTCGTTGAAGTTTGATGAACATGGCTTCCAATTCCAGACTCAAAAGTTTCCCATTTCTCTGTTATTGTAACAGCTGCAACCCTTTTGTCTGAATGGTTTTTACTCTTTATCAACTTTAGACTATCAAGAATGTCCACAAACCTCTGAACACGATGAACCTATCAAAACATCACAAAAAAAATTCTTAAAAAATCCAACTTTCAACATGAATTGTAATTCCTTTGACTTGTTAAAAGTCAACCTCGATTCTCCTCTGCGTTTTTGCTTCTCCTTCGGCCTCAATCCCATCGAGTTTAAGCAATTCCTTCATAAGTAACTCCGTCAAAACTTCAACTTCCTTCTCCACAATCTTGATCCCATTTTTAGCTGATGTTTCCAATCCCGCAACCTACATACAAGCACACACAGATATTCTGAATACACTTCCGATTTTACCCCTGTTACATACATTTATTTACAGTTTTACCTTGTCTGAGAGCTTATCCACCTCATTTCTCACTTTCATGACTGCATCATATGCTTGTAAATTACCATGATTCTTGTTTTTGTCAACAAGTTTTCTCTCCTTGCTTGCAGGATCCTCTAACAAGATTACCTTTGACATGTCTTTTACACCAGCCATGTCTAGATGTTCATCATCCCCCTTCTCTTTCCCTCTAAACAATAGTCTTTGATCTTTGGCTTCTAAATTCGTCTCACGTGCAAGAATCTTTTTGAGATCACCTTCAATATAATCATATATTAGGATACAATATAATTATTCAAAGATCATTTCAAAAATTAAACCATATGTATCAGAATTTTGAACTTTAGATCATGTGATCTATGTTTCTGGATTCTGAGGGAACCCAATCCTAACTCACTTTGACTATAAACAAACCAAAGAAAGCAAGTTGCAGAGTAATAAAGAACAGAACCACTAATGATCTTGAAAGTCAAACAGTCAACATAATCACTATGTTATACTAACATGTAGCATAATCAAGATTCATAGGCTTAGTAAGATACAGAAAACTCAACTCAGAATAAAAAAACAAATATGGGAAAAGAGCTAAATGAATAATGATCAAAAACTAACATGAATAACCCAAATTCAATATTTTTTAAAGATCACGTTTTTAATTCAAAAATAACATGAAAGATTAGCAACCCTAATTCAAGATTACTTAAAGATGACATCGTTGATCCAAACAAATGAGTGAAGAAGAAAGAAAGCAGAGGGTTACCAAAAGTTGAGTGAGAGGGTAAGGATATATGATGATGATAAGATTCATGAGAGACTTTGAATTTGATGATTGGGGCAGTGACACAGCCAGGATCCGACCCGACAACTCTCTTCTGTACAAGCATACCACCAGGTCTTACTTCCCAATCAATGGCGACCTCAATCTCTTGACTTGCTTTCTGTTTACTCCTTTTTGAGGTTTTCATCATACTTTTTAGGATTGACCAACAAAAAGACTATGAAGAAATCAAGAGAAAAAGGTGGGAAGTAAAGAGTGTAAAGTGTAAAGTGAAAGTTTGAAATTGTTTGTTGAGGAAAGTGGATTGGAGAAGAGAGGCAGAGGAAAGCGACATTCCACCCGCGGGTTATTGGTTGATCAGCGGTTGGTGGTCGGTTCTTTCATAAACCAATTTATACCTTTTTTTTTTTAAAAAAAAAAAAAAAAAAAAAAAAAAAATCAAATTATGTAATGAAATGAAATTTGTATTAATTTATTAGGTCGTGTTTTAATTTATTATCAAAATTTATCTATTTATGTGTACGTAAATTGATAAGAAATTTTTTTTTGTTTTGTTGTGAAAATAGGAAAATTTTAAAACATGACGATCAATGAAACTAACATTTTTCTTGTTGTGCATAAGTTGAATTTTGATAATTATATTAATAAAAGTTAATTACTTTTGTATTTTTTTGTAGATAAATATCACTGACTAACTCCAATATATACCGTCAAATGAAAACATTGTATTGTATCTCTGACCAAATTCATACATAAGAAATATACATAAAATTAAGTGACACGACTCATTCATAGGAAGTATATAAAAAAGGCAGTAAAACTTTAAAAAAATTATGTTAAAAAAGTAAACGAACTCGAATTTATACCCATAAAAAATAAATTATTTTTTATTAAATAGTTCTAAATTTACGTGATAATGTTTACCGACATATACATAAAAATAAACATCTAAAAGATTAATTTTTTTAAGTTAACGAACAAAATTTAATAAGGGAAAACAGATTATTTATACTACGGATATAAACATGAAAGTTTATAAAATAGAGAGGCAAAGATAATTATATAAAGTTAAAAAATCAAAAGAACCAAAATAAGATTTTAAAAAATAATTGGGTGGAAAGTGAAACTTTACAAAATAATAATATTCTATTCTTCTAACTTATATCAATTGTCAAACTCATCCATTTTATTAATTTGGTTTTAACAAATATATAATTTATATTTTTTCATTACAATAATATTAAATAAATAAAATTATATTTATAATATGTAATTTTAAGCTTTTGTAAAATACATTATTATGTTTTAAAATTTCAAATATGTATTTAAATTTTAATATGAATTTGTTAAACAAAAAACACTGTATATTTATAATTAATTAATATAATTTAATATATAACACAATATTATAAGTATTAAATATTACATTTAAATAATAATTAGTAAATAAAAAAACCATAAATATATAAATATATAAAACAAATGAGTAAAACCGACAACACAAAATTCATCCAAATTTTGGAGGAAATAAATAGTATAACACTAAAAAATGGGGGAATAATTGGAATATGGTTGGAAAAAAATGGTGAAAAAATAAGAAAAATAATGGAGAATGAAACTAGGTTAAAGATGCTCTTAGGTAATCTTTCATTTCAAATTTTAAAGTTATAAATGCATTAAAAAGGGACAAATTTTAGCGTATGGTGCTGCTTAACATCATTGAGAACAGGAGATCAGACATTTCATTTCAATGGACCCAATCGATCTTTTTCCAGTTGTGGATAAACAAACCAACTTTTGTTCAGTACTCTTCGTAGGAAAATTCATCTGCAATAGCTAGGTTAAGAGATAATTGAGCATGCCATGACGTTGTTAGGATCTCATATAGGCCTTTATGGCCCTGGCCCGTAAATGGACCCTACTTTCACACAATTCACAGGGTTTTTGCTAAAGTCTATTTTATGCCCATGTCAAAATCAAAACACCCTTTTGTCTAGCAGTAACCCCTTTCCAAAAAAAAAAAAAAAAAAAAAAAAAAAAAAAAGGGTAAATTACATGAATGGTCCCTATGGTTTAGGGTAACTTGCGCGTTTGATCCCTAACTTATTTTTCTAACTCGGAAGGTTCCTACTGTTTGTTTTTGTTACACGCTTGGTCCCTGTGTTACATAAAAAGTCTATTTTTATCTTGATTTTTTAATTTATTTAAATAAACACACCCTCAATCCCATCCTCTCTCCTTACCTTACCTACCCTACCATTTTTCTTTATTTAAATAATTATCTTTTTACGTAAGATAGGGACCAAATGCGTAACAAAACAAACAATAAGGATCAAGTGTGTAGCAATAACAAATAGTAGGGACCTTCCGAGTTAAAAAAATAAGTTAGGGACCAAACGTGCAAATTACCTTAAACCATAGGGACCATTCGTGTAATTTACTCAAAAAAAAAAAAACCTACTTAGAGATCGATTATTGCGTTCGACTCATTATTATACCAATCAATAAGTGATATTTTATCTTTGTATGTTTAGGCTAAAGGGAGTGGGTATCGCTAAGGAGGTCGCCACCGGTCGTCAAGGGCGCTAAACACTGTTCCTTCGCTTGCGCCAAAGGGATCGGGTGGTCGTCAAGGGCGCTAAACACCGTCCCTTCGCTTGCACCAAAGGGATCGCCAGCAATAGCTCGCCAGCACCAAAACGAGAAGAGAGAGAAAGAGATCTGGTGGTTGTTGGCCTCCATTGAAGATCTCAATGTTTACTCGGACTCTTTTCTTAATCCTCTTGCTTCAGAGCATTAGCGCCATTGAATGCTCTGAATTTACCGACAAAACTGCAAAATTAGTCCCTGTGGTATTTAAAAAACTTTGGATGGGGTCCAAAAAGATTTGCAACTTGCATGGAAGGTCCAAAATCAAGAATTTCCTTTGGTTTTGGTCCTAAAAAAGTTGAAAAGATGATTTTACCCTTTATTATTTCTTTTTACATTTTCTGTATTTGTTTAGTATTTATATATATATATATATATATATATATATATATATATATATATATATATATATATATATATATATATATATATATATATATATATATATATAATGTCATCCCCTTAAATAATTATAAAAAAGAAAAAAAAAACACACTTACTCCTCCCTACCCGTAACCTCCCTTCCCACTTTCACTCTCATTTACTCTCTCGCATCTTTCGCCATATCAGTTTTCTTTTTCCCTGTTATTGCAATTGTTGGTGGTGGTGTTGGGTTGTGATATGGAAGGGTGAAGACAACCGGAAATGGATATGACATCAGCTATGTAATGTCTCGATTTCTTAATGAAGAGCTTGTAGTATCTCCTTCTCTGCGTCTTCCCCTGTATTTGTATTTCCATGTGATGAAGGCAAGACCATCAGTTTCAGTTCATATATTTTGATGAAAGATGGTGGTGATGATATGGCTCTCTAGCGAGTTAATTACTATCCCCGAACAACCGGAGGGATTTCAAGGCCCTATTTTCGGGTTTTCGAAGTTCGATTTTAGGGTTTCCAAGGTTCGATTTCAGGGGTTTCATCATTTCCATCTCATTTTTTGCTGCATCATCTCTTTAATCTGAAACACAAATTAAAAACAAATCTCTTTAATCTAGTACACACAAGTTAGTGAAATTAGGAATTCATGAATGAAGCTAGAATGTACAGGTGATAAATTAGGAAAAATAAACAGGAATCAACTCCTGATATATGAGCTCTTAGGTGTCTTGTAAGGAAAATGATCACCATAAACCAGTTTGGAATTGCTACGACATCAAAGATCTTTTGATGAAAATTGTCATCGGAGATAATGATCAGAACAGATGTTAAATGGTGGGTTTATGGTGGTGTTTTGTTGTGACTGGATGTTGATGATGGGGTAATCAACGGTGTATGATGTAGGGTTCCGACAAGCATATAGTGGCGGTGATGGTGGTTGAATGACGTCCGCGCGCGCACACACGAGAAAGAGAGAGAGAGAGAGAGAGAGAGAGAGAGAGAGAGAGGAGGGTTGGGTGAGATTTTAGTTTTGTTTTTATTTTTATTATTTATATATCAAAATAAATAAAGAAAATAGAGAAAAGAAATGAAAAGGGTAAAATCGTCTTTTTAAGTGTATCAAGGATCAAAAACCCAGAAAAACTTTGATTTTGGACCTTCCATGCAAGTTGAAATTTTTTTTGACCCCATCCAAAGTTTTTTGAATACCACAAGGACCAATTTTATAGTTTTGTCGAATTTACCATAAAGGACGCCGCCATCCAAGAGATTCGAACAACTTTTAAGCACAACAAACTTACGTCCAAGGATTTAGTTGAGTTCTACATCCAGATACATAAACTCAATCCCGTCTACAGAGCAGTCATTGAAGTGAACCCAAATGCAGTTCATCAAGCTCAGAAAGCTGATGAAGAGCGAAAACCCACTTTAGGGCTCATAAGTCGAGCAAGAGTCATTCCAATTTCCCCTAGACAAGACACAGTTGGGTAAACCTAATATACTTATTAATATTCCCATTCATATGTCCTGGTGATTTAATGATTTTATTAACAGTTTTTGTCCCTCTTGACATACCGATATGTAGGACTGTAACTGATGTTGTTTATGTCCTTGATGCCATTGTGGGTGTTGATAAAAATGATGAAGTTGCAACAAGAAAAGCGTCAAAGTATATCCCCCATGGTGGTTATCTAAAGCACCTAAAATCTGGTGGACTTTAAGGAAAGAGGTTAGGGATAGTGAGGGCTTATTCTAGTTTCGGATTTGGTAATGATATTGCAATTTTGAATAAGTACACGAAACATTTTATGATATTAAGGTATGTATTTTAAGTTTTTAACATCTGGAGTGTTCTTTAATTCTTAAAGCTAACATTTTTACTTTTGCAATTTGTGTAAAACAAGACAAAGTGGTGCTACTTTGATGGACAATCTTGAAGTCACGAACTACAATGATAGCAAGAGGCTAAGCAGGGGCAAAATAGGAACAACTTAAAAGTCTAGAAAAGTACATGAAGAAAATTACAAGGAATTAAATTAAATTACAAAAAGTAAATACAAAAAATATATTTATTAAAATATAGTTATTAAATTAAATTAGAAAAAAGAAAATACAAAAAATTGAGTGTTAAGAGTGTTACCACTCATTACCAAATGTTAAGTGTATGTGTTAAAAGGAGAAAAATGATGTGATATTTAAAATGCTTATGTGGCAAGTTGCCAAGAGTGTCACAACTCCTCTTAACCTTATCGTCCGAGTGATTTTGTATCTTCTCAACTCATCGTTACAAAT